ATACTTGTGACAAACCTTTCTTAAGAAACCAACAACTTTGACCCTTTGACCTTAGAGTTTGACCTACCTTTCAAAAACTTATCCTTGGTCATAACTTTTGAACAGGTTGTGCTAGAGCTTTTATATTTCACAACAGTACTGTATTTCTTGTGAGAATACACTACTTTGGGTACTAATATATTTGATTTACATTTAAGAAACGTTTAATATTCGCTATGTTGCTATACGGGAACATCGGTGTTTCAGAAACACATCTTGTTTTTAAAATAGAAAAGGATAGTGAGTGTGGCATTCTTACAAATTCCAGACTTTCCAAACAGATCCTGCATGATTTGATCTCGCTGTGAGCTATGGTACAGATTGTAGGCCGCGGCATTTGTCAAGGCGGCTCCAAATCCGGAAATATATTGGTAACGCTTGTTCCGGTCCACAAAAATACGAAATCCATTGGAACTTCCGGTAGGTGATAGCGAGGCTTTTTGCGAGAGCCTGTCTCCTCCGTTGCTATTGGTTACCCATACGTCCATATTACCGGTAACCAGAAGAGATACGGTAAGGACAAAAAGACAGGTTGTCACCAAACCTAAAATAGAATTGGGGTTGTCTTTCTTTATGATTATGTTATAAAATAATAGCTACCACAATTTACTTCATACGTAAGTAATACAGACCGTGTTGTGAAGTTCTTAATAATTCCATTGTCTTATAAAACCGGAATACGTTCACAGTGCTTTCATGGATTTTATATAGAATTAGATAAGAGAAATATAGAGGTCAACAGTTGATTATTTAGTATACATCTAAAAGAAGGAAATTGAAATCTGTCCTGACTCTTATATGTAGGGTACTCTATTCATATCCTTTTCTACATTCTTTTGTTTTTGTAATAAAGGCACCCAATTAATTTAATGGATAATTCATTTGGATATTTAATCATTTTCAAGTTAAATTTCGTTTTACATCCATACAGGAATTTTGAATATAACTCTTGCTTTTACAAATTTTAGTTGATTTCATACTTCAAAAAATATATATCAATGTAAGCTAGGCCACAACAATTTTATTTCTTGTTCGTCGGACATTTTTCATAGAAATTGAGCGGTCAATTATATATTTTTTTATTTGAAGAGTAATCAGATTAAAATTAAGATAAATAGAGCAGAAATGGAATAGAATTCCCATGGTGCGGGAAATTTTAATTAATATCATTTATATACACCATGTAGTTTTGCTTAAATACGAGCGCGTGGGTCCGGCAAACAAAAAATTATTGGTGTGGCCTAATTTATAAATTTGAAATGCCATGATTTGTGAGATTCGGGGTTCTAAAAATTAACCAAATATAACATCGACGATATCAATAGGAAGAAAACGTTTTTTTTAAATATTGAATGTTCAAGTCCATAGACGCATAGGCCAAAAAAAAATTAATCAATTATAGTTTCTCAGGCCAAAAACATCAAAATTCAATGCGGCAGGCAGGCTTTTTTTTTTAACAGGTTGACATGTTTTATACCCTTTTTAAGCTATTTGTTCAATGAAATGATGATAACTACTAATTCTTAATTTTTGTTGTCTGAAATTAGGCCAAAAAAATTAATCAATAGTTTCTCGGGCCAAAAAAAAATCAAAATTCAATGCGGCAGGCATTTTTTTAAAAACAGTTTGACAGGTTTTATACCTTTGTTAAAGCTATTTGTTCAATAAAATGATAATAACTACTAATTCTTAATTTTTATTGTCTGAAATTAGTTATAATATGTATTCAACTTTAAATAATGCTATTCCAATTTTTTATTTAAAAGTTAATTCAATAAATACTGTAAATTTAGAAGAAATATATTGTTTTTCTAATAAAAATGTATATCTTAGCATTTCTGAAAAGGGGAATAACTCGATTTTCTTTTTCAACTAGGAAAAATAGAAAATTGAGTTATTTCCCTTTTCAATACGTCAATAAAATTGATCAATGCGGCCGTTTTTTAACTGATGCGTCGGTGCCTGAGAAACTATTGATTAATTTTTTGGGGCCGTATGCAGAAAGGAATACTAGTATTGTAAGAAAATAAAAGCTTTTTTGCGTCGATAGCCAATAATGTAATGACATCCACAGTTAGGACAACATCGTAAATGTACATGTACATCCAAACATGTACAAACTCAAAAAGAAATATTGTAAGAAACTCAAAACTTAAAACTTTGATTACTGCGTCGATAATGTAACTTTTTACACAAATTTGTCATCTGGTATATACTCAGACGAGACCAAGGTAGAACAATGTGTATTCTTTTATTTAATTATATTTTTTCTACAAAACACATGCACAAACAGTTTGCAGATCACAATTAACAGCACTTCAAAAATTAAAAAGCAATATTTCGCGAGTAATTCTAATAAAAGAAAAAAAAATCCGACAAATAGAAGAGTTACAACTTAGATGTCTATAATATTTAAGGAATGAAGCTTATTTCAACTTTTGTTATACGTAACTTGGGACAGTTAACGCTTCATTCCCTATAATTTAATTTCAGTGTAGACAGTGAGACAATTTTTCCTCCGGAAAAAGTTCTTAATTATTAAATTTAAAATATTTTAGCTTATTTTGAAAGTAGTGTCAAGCGGAGTAATACGTTTTTGACGTAATTCATTGTGACATATGCAAGTTAGATCTTTTACCCAATCAAATGACGTGTTACAACTAAAATTAAAATATTGTAAGTTAATATATGATAGTCTCTTTCAACAAGACTCTCGACTGTCTCTGTAAATCTCCAACCAGTCAGAGAGTCTGGTAAAGAATCACGTTAGCGTTTGATACCGTTAGAGGGCGCTGCCTTGTTTACATTTTGATGACCTTTTTTTAAAACGAATATTATACATGCATGTTTCTTCTGTTGGATTGTGAGTTTATTAAGGAATCACTGTCTAGTTAGTATAGTCTGCCAGGGCATCAACAATAGTGGGAAACATGGGATAATTTGCATAACGGGCGAAGACCGTTATGCATAAATTATCCCATGTTTCCCACTATTGTTGATGTCCCTGGCATACTATACTAACTAGACAGCGATTCCTTATATTTCCATTTCATTGTGAAATAAAATTGTAGATTTATAGACTTTGAAAATGTAGACATAGATTTAAATTACACGAGAACTCCCATGCCAATTCCATTATTCTTCGGCCACTGACGTCAAACACAACGGCAGCCGCACGAGGTTCTCATGCATATTTGGCCTCCTTAGCGTCAGACTCAATGACAGATGCGCACGAGATTTGCGTGCATATTAGGCCTCCTTAGCTCCTGACCTATTGAACTGCCTAATTTACATTCCGGTAGAATTATCAAGTTAACTCCGCTAATTTTAAAAGAGTTATCACAGAGAGAAAAATTAGAAATGGAAATATTATAGTCACAATCACGATCAAACTCCAGTATATTCGTGCAATTAACCAAGAACAAGATAATGAGGACACACACATATGCATACACATGTAGATGAGACCTCATGAAAATTGTCTTAGTGTTCAGTAGACGAATGGTCACGGACATCTTCTATAATTCCATGGCAACACATTTTTGCAAGTTCTGTCTTAAATGATGTGTCAAAAAATGCATAAATCACTGGATTGGCAATATATCCCATTGCGTGCAAACTTCTTAGAAACAGAAATAGCTGGAGTTCCGTGTTAGATACAGAGAACCATCGTTTAGGGTCTTTGGAGTCAAAGTGTATAAACACATAGGTGGGAACATACGAGCAAATGGTTATGATGGTGATAATTATAAACATAATGGTCATTCTGTGGTTTCTGACTTGATGGCTTAACGAGGAGACCATTGAGAGACTGTGAAATCTCAGCCTTCCATTGGATATCCTACTATCAATCGTACAACTCTTGTTGGAGACTTTGTACAATGCATTAGAGTGATGTTCAGAAGCTTTCACGGACATCATCGTTGATCCCTCGTCTGAAATGCTCTCTGACGTCATCCCGAACTGGTCTCGTACCCTTTGGCTTTCTTTTTTCTTTCTTTCCATTTGTTTCATCTGTCTGTAAGCCACTTTTCCGACTAATATGTACAAGGCAGACATAACAATAACGGTAGCACAAGAAAATGCGATCCAGAATTTCGACATCCAGATAACGAAGTACTTCGCCCCGTCCATAGTCATGTCCGACCCACAAACGTATCCTTGTAGCTTATACTCGCTAATTGTTATAGGTTTTCTTTTAAAGTAAATTAATTTTGGGAGGTTGAAAATAAGTGTAACGAAAAATGCAACACCAACTGCAATGTTTTTATCTCTGAAAGTTAGACTCGGCCGGAAAGGTTTGCAGATTTTGATGTATCTATGAACACATATTATCACCAAGAGTAACAGGGATAGGCAAAAGAACACGTTTGTACCGTACAAGAGAATTTTGCACAATGCATCGTCAGGAAAAAGAACTGGATTCGAGTTCTTCGCAAAAACAAGGTTTGACGAGAACAGGCAGTGGAACAAATCTGTCACGGCTAACATGATTATGTAGTAACGGTCTCCTCTTCTCTTCTTCTTCAGCCGTGATTTATAAATGTAAATGACAAGTGCGTTCCCCAGAATACCAAATAGCAGAAAAATGACGTTGAAGACGGTATTGATTAAGTATCGGTCTCTGAAGATTAGATTGAACTCTTCCACTGTTCTGTTAGCGTGGTTATTTAAAATCTCAGCCATAATTTTATGGATGATACTTTACGTATTGAACGTTTGAGCTTCTGACAACGACTAAACAATATTAACGACAGAAATTGGGTTTGTTTCAACTGAAAGCGGAACAGAGACCGGAAGGGGTAGAAGAGAGAGACTTTTATATCGAGAAATAATGACTTGCATCCTCTGCGTAAACTTGTACGTGATCTTTAATGTCACGCTGTAAAAAGTACAAGCATAATGCTTGTTTTGAGTACATGAAATAACAAATAGTGATTCTATTCCATATTTCTTCATGGAATATCAGCATCGTGTTTTGGAATAGTATGTGTCATTGTGTAATCTCTAGAAAACCGGAAAGTGTCTGATATAATTCATAAATTTACTTAAATAGATGAGGATGTCTAAAGTGTGCAAATAGAAATTCATCTTAGGTGTTATGTAAAATATGGAGAACACCACTCAGTCTCTATTTAACAACACCCTATACGGAACCGGAGATCACCAGGAAAAAATAAACAGGAAATTCCTGCACATGTTTCAGTACGACACGGCTACTCATGGGATTTTCTTTGTCTTAGGAGTCCTCGGAAACACTATCGTCATTCTGATGTACAGCTTTAGGATAACTAGAAGTAGAGACGACAGATACTATATATTAGCGTTAGCATACGTAGACTTTTTATTTTGTATATTCTGCTCAAGTTTGATCTTCACTAAAAATTTACATTATTTAAATTTCCCGAGCAATGCCGCTTGTAAAATACTGATGTTTCTAACGAACATGTTTTTTACCCTGGCCCTGTTAGTGTTGATTGTTATATCCGTACATAGATACCGCCATATATGTTTGTCCATGACTGAGGTCTTGACAACAAAAACCAAACACATTGTCATTGGAATTTCAGCCGGTGTCTCTGTGGCCTTTGCTTCACCGAAATTGGTCTATTGCAAAGTTATTCGAATTAGCTTCTCTGACAATATGACAGGCTATGTTTGTAGCTCTGACATGACTATGCCGGGGTCAGAAGTGTTCGTATCCGGAGTTACTATTGTTTTTATCATTTTATCCGTCATTGGTATTATTACAATGGCGTTTCTATATTATCGCGTGGCACTGATCATTTTCAAACAGCTTCGGCAGTTCAAAGGCATGCGAGTACAGAAAGTACGATTTAGGAATTTGTATGGGAATCTAAGAGCTAGTATCATCAATGCCTTTGAAAGAGAAAATTCAAATCTTTCTAGAAGACCAAGTAGTGAAACGCCTGTGATACATTCAGAAATACCGGAAGAAAAGCCACAGCAATTATCAGAACAAGCAGACAGCCATATACCTACATGTACGTTCGAAGAAACACCAACATGTGACAAGGGGACACTAAGAAAAAAAACAAGCAGAAATCGAAATAAAAATAAAACAAAATCACTGGCAGTTTATCTCAGTACCAATAGAAAGGCCAAACGTTCCACCTTAATGTTTATTGCTATTACCATAGTAACAGTGCTTTCGTATATACCGACATGGATTTTTATATTCCTGGAGACAAGAGATCCAGCTAGGTGGTTCCGCATGTCTTCCTGGGAATTTCATTTCTACTTGTTTTTACGATCGCTGGGATCTTTAGGATATGTAACACACCCATGGCTGTATGCTTACTATGATAAATGTTTTCAAACAGAAATGAAGAAAATTTTATGTAGAAAAGGAGCGCATGAAGTATACATGTAGAGCTGAATATATGTGATTTTATGGAATTCATCAATTGTAACTCAGGCAATCCAGTGTCTTTCATTTTCATTCATATGTAAAACCAACTTTTAAAATCAGAAAAATATTTCCAAAATGTTTTCTTAGACCAATTTAGCCCTCAGTAAAAAATACTTGTTTTCCAACGCAGTCTTCCCGACAATTTTCCAAAAACAACTTTACGCATTTTCCCCGTTATGTGTAAAAGAGTGCAAAAGTATTTTCCATGAACATTTATTTAATTTGTTGGTGTCAAATCTTAGAAAGTGTAATACAAGTCATGATAATTTAATGCTAAGTAAATAAAATCTATAAAGATTCAGAAAATAGAGATATACACTGCTTTTATGCCCGTAATCAAAGATTTGGGGTATATAGTTTTTGCCTTGTCCCTCCATCTGTCTAGCTGTCTGTCTGTTTGTCCGCAAAAACTTAAACCTTGGGCATAACTTTTGAATTGATGGGACTACAGCTTTTTTATTTCATAGGTATATTCCTTGTAACGAGACCATTTTACAGGTACCATCAAATTTGACCTCGTGATGTTGGAGTTTGACTCACTTTTAATTAAAAAAAAGTCGATGCTAAGGCTTGCATACTCCACATGTGTATTTACTGTGGCAAGACCTTTCAATGGGGTGGAAATACCGTATTTTTGACCCTTTGATATTTATCTTAATTAAGAGTTTTACCAATTGTTAATCCATTATTTATACACTGAATTGACGACGGATTTTGTTCCGTTATTTCCCAATCATGACAAGGAGCAAGGGCGGGTGTGACCGGTCGGCAAGGGAGTCTCACTCCTCCATAGCACCTGATCCCAACTCTGATGTTTTGGAGGTCTGCTCCTATTTTGTATTGTTTTGACTTTTGATCTTGAATACTGTTCGTTGTCTCCATATGTTCCACTTTAAAAAAATTAACCCTGAACATAACTTTTGAACATTTAATACTAGGTTTAGAGCCAATCGCAAAACCCCTAAAGGATTACATTGTTTGTGACGAGCTGACGCTTTGCTTGTCGAGAACTTTAAATTCTACGTCACATTCTCGCCACATCAAAGGACGTAACCGAGATCGCGTCTCTCCCACGCTAAAGTCGGTCAGCTGCAATACACATCGCCGACGTTTAACGGGTTTACAAAAGGGGACAGAAAACACAAATCTTATTAAACAGTTTAAAAAGAGCATTATTTATATTATATGCATTTTTTAGAGTTCGTAATAAATAAAAGCCGTGAAAATTTAATTTTATAGCATTTACCATTTGTGTACCGGTATATGGCACAGTATACATGCGATATAAAATGATGTACATGATCAATTTAAATTGCTGGATTTTAAGTATTCTTCCTGGTCATTCTTGGATTGTGTAGTATTTTAATTGTTTCAAATCACTAGTACTGTTGATGTGAAATGATTTTTCTGTGGAAAAGAGAAATATTCCGTTCGTGTATCAAGCCGTGAACTTGAGACTTGAGAACTAAGTATACATAGATTTTTTATTACATGTATACCCCAAACAGCCGTATTATACCAGAAAAATATGTACTTGTACTTTTAGTATCCATATATAAAAGAACATATCTGTCAATAAGAGAAGTATGCCTATTCACAATTGTCAATAATTATGTAAAAGTACTAAATTAGAACGGGTGCATAGTTTTGCTTTAAAAAATACACACATGTAAGAGCTCTCTCTCTCTCTCTCTCTCCAGGAAACGTTTCAGTGGCTGAATATATATATATATTTCACTCTATTGCATCAGTGATGTTTAAAATATGATCAGGTATTTTCGTTAATTTAGCACTCAGTCTCTGATTTTTTAATTATCGGTAAGCACACATTAAATCCATTCTGATTGATCATATACGACATACATGCACTGCTGCAGAATTTTTAAATACTGTGCATTACGTAGAAAAGTACTCAAAAGCACATTTTCGCAATCCCTTATAAAACTGAGATTTCTGTAAGAACATGTAAATACCCATAACAGGGAACCCATACTGAGCACTACGTACGCAGAGTTTTTGCAAACAGCAACATATCCTCCATATATGGGGCGGGGGGAGGGGGGGTTAGAATGGAAAAAAAAACAGGTGCGATTTCAGAAACTGTGGGACAACTTTATCGAATGCTAAGACAACTTTTAATAATCATGCGATTCAATGAATATTTACTCGTATATTGTACTAACGTAGGGGAACTACAAGAGGCCCATGGGCTACATCGCATACCTGAGCAACGTGGCTAAGAAAATAGCAGAAATCAGCTCAGTATTGAAAGTTTAAATCCATAAGTGGTCCCAATCTACCTTTAAAGGGGATGGGAGTATATGTGAACAAACTTGAATCTACACGTCTTGAAATTTTCTCCCATAAGTTTCAACATTCTTGGCACTCTGTTTCTTGAAATGATTTTAAAAACATGTCATCAATTGCAAATTTTCACATTTTCTGAATTATCTCCTCAAAGAAGTCGCCCTTCATTTGAATAGACTTGAATACCGTTTACCAAAAAATGCCTTGTGGCAAGTTTGGTTAACATTAGCCCAGTGGTTCTAGAGAAGAACTCGAAAATGTGAAAAGTTTAAAGACGGATAAACAGACGTTAGGCAAAATGTGATCAGAAAAGCTCGGCCAGCCCTCGACCCACCCTTCTTTTTTTTCGTTTCAAACATATTGTTCGAAAGGTTTTACGTTTTAATAAAGATACTTTACAACAGCTTAAGTAAACAGTTTCATGTTAGTTTAGTACATGTATATACTAAAAATATCAATTCGTAAAAATTATTGTGCACTGTACTTTGGATACATGAGACTGTCACAAAAAATTTCAAGACCGTAATCCACTCTTGTTGCATCAGACGTCACGCACGGTGTTGGTGTCAAAAAGTCAAAAATTACTACTACGGCGGCATATATCAGTATATATGACGATATTCTCTTTAGGTCAATGTACAAACAAATCAGAATAAAGCCAATATTGTGCGTTAGTGCAACCCACATCACAAACCTGTTCTTCTCCAAGAAATATATAGCACAATGCTTAAGCACCCAAATAAAAACACCTATAGAAACTCATTGCAAATACCAGAATATATTAATTATATTTTAATCATTTAAAAATTGCAACATAACAAAAACTAGCGCACGCTCCCTGCGACGCAGTTTAGTACCGGTAACTGGCAAATTTTCTTTAAAACCTTTTCTTCAGAGGAAACACGTGGACAAAGTCTATTTATTTTCAAAATCTGCCAGGCCCATCTAAAGGAATCAGAAAATGCATGTGTAATTAGATTTAGACTTTATAGACATAGGCGTCGAAACCGGGCGAGCGTAGAGAGGGGGGGGGCTTTTTCAAAGTTAGACTTAGTATAGACATTGAACATTGCTGCGTAGGTACATACCCACGAAATAAGATTTTTGTGTTTGGAAAATACACATCCCTTGTTTTTGTTTGTGTGTGTGTGTGTGTGTGTGTGTGTTGTTGTTGTTGTTGTTTTTTGCTTCTCAGGTTTTTTTGGAAGGTCTAAAAAATAAATTTCTTACCCTTAGCCCCCACTTTAATTTGCTTCCGACGCCCATGATAATTAGATATTTTCCGTCGTTTGGTATAAATTACCTTGTACATACAACATTCGTTAAAACTTAAAAATAAATTGAACCTCAATCGTTAAAATTTGAAGGTAAATGGACACGTCTTCCCAGGCCTTCCCTCTTTATCTTTTCTCTCGAATATACGCATAAAGAGGGTATCCATTTTTCACCAGTATATTTTGTACCAAATCCAACAATCTCAGCATGCATGACTTGGGTTGATACGCGTAACTAATAAATCTAATGATCAATGAATCATGCACTACTCGACTTTAAAGCTTATACTTGTTCGCAAATATGAAAAAAAAAATTGCGATAATAGAATAAAATAATCGACCAATTAAAATATTCGTAATGGAGTGAAAAAATCTTTACATTTTTAAAATCAAGGTTGAAAAAAACTTTTTTTTAAATTCAAGGTTTAAAAAAACTTTAAACTTTGCAGGTAACATTCAAGAAAACGACATCGGGACTGTCTACTCCATTTTTTGAACCCCGAAAACAAGCTGTATGTTGCAGCTGACCGACTTTAGCGTGGGAGAGACGCCATCTCGGTTACGTCCTTTGATGTGGTGAGAATGTGACGTAGTATTTAAAGTTCTCGACAAGCAAAGCGTCAGCTCGTCACAAACAATGTAATCCTTTAGGGGTTTTGCGATTGGCTCTAAATACTTCACAGAAGTATCCCTTATGACAAGACCTTCATTTGGATACCAACAATTTTGACCCTGGCCTTGCATTTGAGAAACGAAAACCCTCGCTATAAGCTGCCATATGGGGGTATCAGTGTCTCATAAACACATCTTGTTTTTATTATTCATGTTTTATATGTAAAAACCATCATCGACATTTTATCAGGGTATCATATTGTTTTAGTTATGATGAAAAGTACGTAAGGGTTGCCCGCAACCCTGTGTCTCGCCTGCTGTCGCTGTGGTTAGTAAGAAATGATTGTCTGATAAACTGAAGCATTTATTGACATTTCAGAAGGAATAACTCAAAAATACAATAATAAAGAAATGGAACAGCTGACTTAATATCTAATCCCTTGGCGATTATATTGGCATTTATATATATATACATATACCCTGTAAATTCACAAATTATTGTGATGTTTTTATTATTGCGAATATTGCAACGTGTTATGAGTCGCAATAATTTGAACTTGCATTTTGAAATCAAATCCACTGTATATGTATCAAGTCATTCATGCAGAAAATGTAGGTGAAGATTACCTAATTATGGTACTGATATTGTTGGTTACCCATGATGTGTAGACTGACAAATTATCATGCCACTATAAGTTATAGTTGCTGAGATATGGACCTCCACCATAAATTTATGCAAAGTTTCATGCGGAAAAATGTAGGTCAAGATGACCTAATTCTGGTACAGGCGTTTGTGGTTACCCATGATGTATCCACTGACAAATTATCATGCCACTATAAGTTATAGTTGCTGAGATATGGACCTCCACCATAAATTTATGCAAAGTCACTCATGCGGAAAAATGTAGGTCAAGATGACCTAATTCTGGTACAGGCGTTTGTGGTTACCCATGATGTATCCACTGACTAACTATCATGCCACTATAAGTTATAGTTGCTGAAATATGAACCTCCATTATCAATTTAACCAAAGTCATTCATGCAGAAAAATGTAGGTCAAAATGACCTAATTCTGGTACTGATGTTGTTGGTTACTTATAACCTGTACAATGACAAATCATCATGCCATTATAAGTTATAGATGCTGAGATATGGACCTCCACCAAAAATTTAACCAAAGTCACTCATGCAGAAAAATGTAGGTCAAGATGACCTAATTCTGGTACTGACGTTTGTGGTTACCCATGATGTATCCACTGACTAATTATCATATCCCTATAACTTATAGTTGCTGGAATATAGGTCTTCACCATAAATTATCATGAAAAAACTAAGTCCAACTTAAGGAAAAAATACGGAAAAATTTGAATTTTTTTTTTCAAAATCATACTTGGGATATAAATTTTTATCCATACTGAATATTGTGTCCAAATTTCAAGAAGACTGAATAAAATTTGAGAAAGTTATTGCAGTTTATAAAACTTTGACATTTGGGTTAACCAAAAGTTGGACGCCGACGACGACGACGACGACGACGGAATCTATGGTCGCTATGTCTCGCTTCGCGACATTCGTCGCAGGCGAGACAAAAATTACAACGATTGTAACCACATCAACCACATTGACGCAGAAGAAACAGTAACATGACAAAGCTGGGCATTGATATTCCTAGTAAACAGCAAGGAAGTATACTTTGACCTGTTTTTAAAATGAACTGTTGATGAGAATGGAAACAGCTAGAAAGGATTTCAACACATAGGGATGTGATTCTAACAGAATTTAAAGAAAAAAATCAAACTGATAAAAGATATAGATTTTAGCATGCTTAGCCTTGCCCGATTAATATTACTTCTCCCCATAACATCCGATTAAACTCATTTATGTATTTTTTTTCCTTGCATGGACTCGAATTGACTCCTCAGAGGTTTCAATAAGAAATCTAAAATAGAAAACTAGTATTCGTATTTTGAAATTGGAAAGTTATCTTTTTTATATCAGAGGGTCGGTACCCCTTCCTTAAAGAAGAATACTGGGTCGGTAGGTATGTTCACTCCTCCATGGCACTTGATCCCATCTTTGATGCTTTGGAGGTCCCGTATTACTCTGCTCCTATTTTGTATTGCTTTATAGACTTTTGATCTTGTATACTGTACGTTATCTCCATATGTTTCATCAAAAAAAAAAGACTGTTGTATCAAAAATAAATTGTCGATCCCTCAAACTAAACCGATCGCCCTTGGCGAAACGGATCAAAGCAAACAGTTTGGTTATTAGGTCCGACAAAAGGCATGTTGCCCTGAACCCAGTCATTAAATGTATAATGTTTTACAATCTGATTCTGAAGAAACCCCATTCAGGGTCATCTCCTGGTGACCTCTCAATTATTTAATCAAACGTTCACTTCCAAGAATTTAGAAGTTTCTCTGAATTCAGTTACAGAAGTAAAGCCCCGATGATACACGAACGGAAAATCGTGACTTAATTTCCGTAGCCTGCTAAGAGAACGACTACAGTCTTTTCTGTACATAAGTATTATAAATACTTGCTTTTGTCTTGGTTTTTAGCTCTTTGTTTGGTACGAAACGATAATATCTTCTCCACAGCAATCTCACTTCTACATTCATTTTCCCGAACGTCATTTAATTTTTTTATTACAACGGTCACCAGGAGATGACACGAAAAGGATTTCTTCAGATCCTTGTGTAGCGATCTATGTGAGCGGATCAAAGGATCTGATTTAAATCAGATTGAATGTTTTACACATTTTTTTCACATTGGCAAGCTAAAGCAATCCATATTATAAGCACCGCAAATAGCAAAAAAGAAACAAAATCGAAGTTTGTCTTTCATATGAAGCATATACAATTTATGTTTGTATTTTGTTTTAATATTAATAGGACTTGATGATTCAATACAAAAATAAATCAGCAATAAAAGTTATATATTAACCACTCTTTGTATTTATGAATTATTAAAGAGGTCTGATAATTCTGGACTATTGTCAGACTCGGAATGACTCCTTAATTTAAGTTCTTCCAAACACTTAGAGTCATGGCGGATCAGGATTTTTAGGGCGGGCATCAACAGTTTTACCACATCTTGGTTGGATGTTTGCATACGACAAAGAAGGTGATGGATTGCACTTTTTCCTTCATTATCGTGTAATGTTACATTCGCCCCGCTGCGTATAAGAAGTCTAAATATCTCATTTATCCATTTTGCATCAAAGAAGTACGCTGCCATATGACACACGGTCATGCCACGGTTTTCCCGCGCATTGATATCAATCCCAGCATCCAACAGTAAATTGATCACTCTGAGACCTTGTATATCTTGAAACCTTTTCTCTATTGCAAGAGTTAGACCCCTTTTCGGCTTTTTAATTTCCGATGACAGAGAGAAAAAGGAGTGTAAAGCGTTAAGACCTTCTTTGGTGGTTAGGTTAACATCACACCCATACTGAATTAAACACTGTACACTCGCAGCATTATCAGCAGATAGATGTAGACACGTCTCGCCTTTCCTGTTTTGCAAGTTTATGTCTATTCCTTTTGAGATTAACTCTTCTAAGCCATTTTGGTGCCTTCTCATCGACAACAGATGTGCAGGAGTGTTTCCTTCTTTATCCTGCCTATTCAAATCACAATCGAATGACAAAAGTAGGCGCAAGATGTCCAACCTGTTAAAAGGTTTCTTTACCGTCTCGGAGAGATTCGAGGGTGAACATAATTTGTGTAGCAACGTCTGTCCAGTATCGTCTCCTTCATCTGCAGCTAAACCATGACTCATCAAAAGTTTCAGTGACTTCAAACAGCAATCTTCTATACTAACGTAATTGAACAAGGTATGTGCCTTTCGAAGGTTCAATCCATTTTGCAGCAGCAGTCGAAGCTGAGTGGATCCACAAAGTTCCTTGTCAGAGGTAATAAATGTAAATCGTTTGTACAGATTATCGTATGTGAGTGTTTTCTGTACCTTTTTATTATCATTAATCAGAACGGTTAAGAGAGGAGATTGTTTCTTATTTGTCCCTATGCATTTGTTGACGTCTGCTCCTTTATCACAAAGGAACTGCAATAACTTTTGACGAGAGACGGGGGATTTCAAAGCACCGATTAAAAGTGTAGAGTCATTAATTTCTGTATCTACATCAAACTTAACCGGTAAAAGCACTGGTATGACGGAATTCATAATTGTTTCATCGTCCATATCAGATTCCAGATAGTTCATCAGCAGATTCAGTTGTCTGTTTTCGCACACTTGGGAATGATTGCTTAGCATAAGGATTAAAACATCTATGTCTTGACTTATCATTGAAGCCACATCACGAATTCTGATAATAGAAGTTCTTCGATAATTAAAGAAATGGAGTACATATGCCAGTATCCCAAAGAATAGCGCCGAAACAAATTCCGACTTCTCGAATGAGTTGCAACCATCATCTATTGAAGCACAAACTAATTTTAACCCTTCCAGATGAGACTCGCTCAAAATTGCAACGATTGTCTTCAGTATTCTTTCCTTTGTGTTCATTTGAAGACTAGAAACAGACTGAAGAGTGCCTATAACCGTGTGCTCAGAAGCTTCATGGCTTTTAATCAGTTGTACGAAACACGAATAGTCCTCACAACGTGCGCAATGGCTACTAGCAAATACGTCTCTCCAACGCAAGGAAGAAAATTCCTTATATGCTTGCATTACACTCCATGAATGAATACTGTTTTCATGTTTTGAACATATGGCCAAGATTGTTAAGAATTCTGACATTCCAAATTCTGCTTTATGATGCAAAAATTTCTCAACTATCTGTAAACTTCGTCTCGATCGTGTCTTTGAAAGCAAATTAAAGGCAGTGCATCTCTCTTCATTACGTTTGTTTAAATCTATGTTGTACAACAAAAGAAGATCTATTGCACTATTTATCAGTGTAAACCTGCTTTCTTCATTCAGTTTCTCATAAGATGTTAACCTTTCGTCATAGTAATTAAGCCTATCGACGAAACTTTTCATCACCAAATGCAGAATTGTGTCGCCATCTTTATTTTGTATGTTGACATCCGCACCTGCGCGGAGCAGGCATTGTAGATGTTCTAGCATAATTGGTTTCCATTGCTTTTTCTTTGATTTTGTATACACAAAGCTAACAGCTAGATGAATTGGCGCAAATCCTGCCAGATTTTTTGTATTGATTTTGCACTTCTTCTCTAGGATAAGCTCAAAGACACATAAAGGCACATTAGCTAACATACATACATGTAGCACATTATTGCCTTGATTATCACATAAATCGAAGTCTTCGGTTTCTGTGATTATCATTTTCAGTAGCTGTAGTTCGTTCTTCCTGACTTCCGTGTGTTTTCTAACATTCCAGGAACTAATAATTTGCATGAGTAAATTCTGGCCTTTGCTGCAAAATTCTTTCATTGGTGTTCCATGTTTCAAAAATGTTTCAAAAAGTAAACAAGAAAGAGTTCCATTGGTCCCATGGTGCATTAAAGCATTTCTGTTCGATATGCTCTCTCTAGAATTGACTGAGGCGCCATTTTCTAGTAGTTTCGTGAGGATCGAATGGTCGTTTACAAGGAATAGGGGAGTTAGACCTTCCTTATCACAAACATTAACATCAGCTCCTTGAGCTATGAGAAACTCTAGGACATCTTTATTCACAGTATTCTGAAAAATATCAAGAGATGATTCAGAGATGTCCACAGTGGTTAAAGTTTGTGTTAGTGCAGAAGCAACCTCCACGCTCTTAACGTAAGGTAGACCTTTACGATAGAGGCGTTTGAGTTCCTTTTGTTCTAATTGTGCGAAGATATCAAGGAAAGCTGGTGAATCGATTTGTGCAAAAATAGTCATAATGTCTTCATCATTGAATGATTTCATTGATGACCAAATGAGATCAGCTTTGGCATATTTTTTAACAAATGTAAACTCTCCATTTCTCAAAGCACAAAGTATGTTTTCACGGTCAAGACTTAAATTAGTCAGAGTTAGAAATGCTTCAACAATGTCTTGTCTTCGCAATTTCATTGCCATTGAAAAAGACGTCTTAAGATCATCCGTCTGTTTTGTAAATGGTAAAAGAAATTTCCCAATGTCTAGAGAGGCTGATCCAATGCTCAATGTAGCCGCTTGTAGCGGTGACAATTTTAAAGACACTTCAGAAAAGATCTGTGAATACAACGGTTCTTTTAAGATATTGAGAATATCTTGAGTAAATATTGTTGTGCCTTGAGAAACGTTGTCATCAATTAATCTACCTATGTGTCTAGCTAAGACAACGTCTGTTCCATGGAGAATTGTGAAAATAAAAGACTCTCTCAGTTGCCTTTGCGTCCAGTCTCTTTCACTGTCAAGTAACCATTGCAATCCATCCATCTGAAGAAGAGACTGAGTAAGACACGTGTTGTTAGCCACAGAGGACCAATAGAGAAGAGAACCGAAGAATTTGTGTATGGTATCAAACTGGACGTATGACAACAGTTCTGCTTCAGCTTGGGTCGTTGTACCATTCAAACATTTACTCAATGTGGATGCTTTGCAAAAGACGGAGACAAATTCTTGGTCGGTCATTGCTTGATGGAAACACACATCTCTAATATTGCCATGTTTTATTTCTTCCACCAGTCTTTGAGCAATAATTGGAAAGTGTTGACGCTGGACTGATATGATTTTTTCATTGTTCTGGCATTTGTATCGAGATGTTCTAATTCTAGCTGAAATGAAATCGAACGAACAAATGTCGATGATATCAGATGTAGACTCTTCACCCATCATAAAAGTCACAGCATCTTGAATACTAGGATGACGAAATATCCTAATGTTTTCGCTGTCTGATAGGAACAAACTCAGGTCTTCGGATTTACAAGACAGTATTTGGGAAAGGTCTAATACGGATTCTACACCGATCATCTTCTTTATGAATTCCATTCTTAATGCATCTTGATTGGGAAATTTTCTCACGTATCTGTTTATTCTACCATCTCTTAATGCAGTATAAACTAGCACTGCAAATTCTAGTGGTTTCGCTGTCTTCATAACATTCAGGTTCTGCATTAAATATTCTATTGGAGATCTGAAAAAGTCAACACCTCTTTTTCTCAACGCTGGAGACTGAGCAAACATTTGAACACAATGTGGAAAGCCATGGTTCGGAGATAGTACAATCGCTTGTTCAAAAAATGACTCTTCTCTCTGTATGTTGAAAAACTTGAAATGTTTTCGCATTATTTGCATTTTTTCTCTGTCATTCAAATGACCTGCGAGATCTGTGGTCACTTTTGAGACAAATTCGGGGTTCTTTAAAACCTTCATAGCTTCTTGGAGAATGTGTGTACGTGACGTCATGATCATCAATACATCTCCACATCTATCCATAACAATATTGTCTAGCTGCCACAAAATTCTCTGAATATCCTCAGTTCGAGATCGGTCAAAGACAGTCACTCCAAAAATATCATCGAAAAATAAAAGCATTTTTTCATCAAACTTCACTGATTCGAAATCGGTTGATCCATTTAAGAGAACAAAACGGAAGCCTTGTCTATATTTCTTGACTATGAGATGCTTAGCAATGGCTGACTTTCCGTCACCTGGTTGTCCTGTTAACATGACCCGGAAGTAATTTTCTAGTATCTCCTCGGCCTCCTGGAAGGCGCGTGTTTCCACAAAAACTTTGTCTTCTTGTTTGAATATACTTAGAAGCGATGACAATTTTCCTGAAAAATTACAATTTACATTTAAATACACTGAATTTTTTTTTTTTACATTCCCCTATAAAAACTGAAGGAATTTGATATTATTAAAAGTGAGCAAACCTCTTGAATTTGACGTCGGCTCTTCTTTCTCTGGTTGGTTAAGATAAACTAATGAATCCTGAATAACGTTGGTTGCAGAATGAATTACCACGGGAGAGTGGGGACTAAAATCATCTGGAATCGAATTGGAATTTACATCATTTTAAGTAAGGTTAATTAGATGACCAGTTAAAAGAACCATATAGATGCCGTTATAAGAATTCATCAATAGAACGTATTTACTATACCATAGTTATGACGTAGATGGTCTTTATGGATCCTGTCTTCGTAAAGTCCCATTACGTCCAGTTGCTGGATCACTTCACCTTCCTCTGTAATCAAGTCACTCTTAATCTTACAATATTATTTCAAATATTCTCCTATATTTTCTATTTATTGTATCCTGCATGTTATAATATCTTCCAACTTACTATGGGCGTATTAGACCTGTAATCTGCAGGAATAATAAAATTTATAGCTTAATACCCATGATTTGGTAGTCTTACAAAGTTGCGCACATTGAAAAATGTTTAAGTTGTTTGATAAAAATATGTACTTCGGAGAAGAAATCGACTGAGGGTTCGAGTAATGAATACTAAAAATGTATGGTACTCGGTTACTCGGATATATGCTTTTTTCCAAACTCGGATGTATGTTGTTTTTTTCCAAAGTACACATTTTTATCAAAAACTTAATATCATAGTTTTATCATCATAAATCTGCGATACGCAACAGATTGTCTTCCAATATATCCAAATTAACCATTTGTAATATACGGCAAGTCAAACGTTGCAATATTCGATCTTTTCCATTTGTATTGTAAAATTTTCCATTTGTATTGCATAATGTTTATTTGTATTGTATAATTTTCCATTTGTATTGTATAAGTTTTTATTTGTATTGTATAATTTTTCATTTGTATTGTATAATTTTTATTTGTATTCTATAATTTTCCATTTGTTTTGTATAATTTTTCATTTGTTTTGTATAATTTTTATTTGTATTCTATAATTTTCCATTTGTATTCTATAATTTTTTATTTGTATTGTATAATTTTTTATTTGTATTCTATATTTTCAATTTTTGCATTGTATAATTTTTCATTTGCATTGTATTAATTTTTCATTTATATTGTAAAAAAATCATTAGTATTGATGAACTAAGAACCTCAGTCAAGAACTATGAAAAATTAGTTAACAAATTCCCTTTTAATGCTGAATATCGAAAAGCATTTTATTCATTACGTTCACGTTTCAGACGTCGATGTAAATACGAGCAGAGACAATGCAAACAAAAGATTTATACTGAGCTTGAGAAATCTTTTTCCAATCCTAAATCATTTTGGAAATTAATTAACAAACTTGATCGGTCATCAAAGTGCCCAAATGAAGATGTATTACCTCATGACAAGTTTAAAGATCATTTTAAAAAACTATCTTTGGATAATTCAAACTTAAATGCATTTCAAAGGGAAACTACTCAAAAATTTGAAGAGCTAAAAAAGAAACAAGAGTCATATTTCGACATGGATGTACTAAATAGTACAATAACATCTAGTGAAATACTTAAAGCCATTAAATCTTTGAAAAATGGTAAATCTCCATCTATTGATTTAATATCAAATGAAATGATAAAAAATAGTACACATACTTTGCTCGGGTCACTTACTAAACTATTTAATTTTGTATTTGAAAAAGGGGAGTTCCCTAAAATATGGAATGAAACTTTTATTGTCCCATTGCATAAGACAGGTAGTAAATCTGACCCAAACAACTATAGAGGAATATCGATTAGCTCCAACTTAGGGAAAGTACATGTATTCAATAAAATCATACATTTGAGATTAATCAAATTTACTCTAGATAATAATCAAATTAGCAAAAATCAAATTGGCTTTATGGAACACAGCAGAACGGCCGATCATATCTTTTCTATAAAATCTATAATTGAGCATTACAAACTCAAAAAGAAAAAAGTTTATGCAGCATTCATTGATCTGAAAAAAAGCATTTGATACTATTTGGAGAACAGGTCTATTTTACATACTTCTAAAAAATGGTGTTCCTAAGAAAATTTTCAATGTGATTTACTCTATGTATGCAACACCACGAACAAAATAAAGTTTCATGAGGGTTTAAGTGAACCCTTTATATCTCAAAGGGGTGTTAAACAAGGCGATGTATTAAGTCCATTACTTTTTAACATTTTCATAAACAAAATTGTTGATGAATTGAACAGCATGGAAATATCCGATATTGGTAAAGGACACAAAAATACACTGCTTATTATATGCAGATGACTTAGTTTTGTTGTCAATAGCAGATGGACTACAATGTGGCCTTAATACTCTTGAAAATTATTGTGTTAATTGGAAGCTTGAGATTAATACATCAAAATCAAAAATTATTGTATTTAATTCTAATGGTAAAACCTTTTTAAACCATTTTACTATTAATGGTACCTGTATTGAAACCGTTGACAAATATTGTTATCTTGGTATAAATCTTAAATGTAATGGCAAATTTAATCTTGCTGCAGCTCGGTTAGTTGATAAAGCCAGAAAAGCATTATTCAAGGTAAAGAAATCCCTCGGTTTACATCATTCCTGTCAATTGTTAGAAAAATTATTTGATACTATGATAATTCCCATTTTGCTTTATGGGAGCGAAGTATGGGGTATTGACTTCGTACAAAAAAATTATGGCTCAGCATCTTATGAAAAATTTCATATTAAATTTTTAAAAGAAATCTTAGGAGTCCATTGCAAAACTTCAAATAACGGTTGCTATTCTGAACTCGGGAGACTCCCAGTCAGATCAAAAATAACTATGTTTGCTATCAAATACCTTGATCATTTAATTTCAATGGAACATACATTGGCACATGAAATTTTTATCAAAACTAAAGAAACTAACACATGGTCTCTGTGTTTAAAAACTTGTCTTAATAACTTAGGATTTTCTTATTTAACAAATTTAAATATGTCAGTGAAACCAGTGCTTGGCATTATTAAACAACGCATTCATGATCAAATATTACAAGAACAAAATGCAAGTATTATGAATTCCTCAAAACTGTCTTTTTATCAGAACTTTTGTCTTAATAATAAACGTGCACATTATGTTGACAAACTAGAGTCACTGCATGATAGATCATTTTTAGCAAAAATTAGATTAAGTGCACATAACTTAGAAATTGAAAAAGGTAGATATGTTGAAACTAATAAAAATGATAGGATATGTAAAGTATGTCAAAACTTTGATATTGAGGATGAAAAACACTTCATTTTGCTATGTCCAAAATACGAAGCACAGAGAAAAATATTCAAAACTAAATTATCCACTTTCCCTGACTTTAACCAAACAATTGATAATAATGACAAATTCTTAAAAGTATTGATGAATACTAGTTGTAAAAATGTTCTTAAAATATTATCATCATTTTTATGTCAAATATCTGAAATAAGAAAAAATACTTTAGTCATAAATGAATAACTATATTGTACTGAATCATACGTATGTATTTAGTATTTGATAATTACAATACATAATTTGCTACACCATACATATCCTAGTTGTGTTCTACTGTATTTTCATACTTATCACTATGTTTTCTATGGGCCTTTACCAATTACTGTAATTGGGTTTGTGCCAATAAAAATATTTGTATTTGTATTTAAAAAAATATTTGTATTTGTATAATTTTTCATTTGCATTGTATCCGAAGGATTGTTTATTTTGGTTTGTTACGAAGCCCCCCGGTTCCGACGCCTATGAGAGTGCCTTTTTACCTTTTATTGCTTGGTTTAGCCCCCCTCTTTCGATTAGCCCCCCCCCACTTTCAATTTACTTCCGACGCCCATGCTATGATCTGTTTTGATTTTCGTCTCGGGGAAACAAAAACAGATCACAGTATGGGCGTCGGAAGCAAATTCAAAGTGGAAAGGGGTCTAATCGAAATGGGGTGGGGTGGGGGGCTAAACCAACCAAAAAAAGGTAAATCCCAATTTTCAATGCATATATAATGTCTACTTTTGAAAAAAAAAGTGCCCCCCCCAGTTCCCATGCCTATGCGACAGAGTGCAGAGACATCGATTAATGAGCGCGGCCTTTACATTACTGGTCACCTGTCTGTATATCGAGGATCAGACAGGCAAGCCAGTCTATGCTCAGACTGCATAACACGTGTAAACTTCCCGGAATATATATCTAGGGTATTACTAAATCCGATATATGATTAGATTAAACCAATGAAATCCTTCGTAACAAACCAAAATAAACAATCCCTCGGATACAATGCAAATAAAAAATTATAGAACACAAATGGAAAATATAGAATACAAATGAAAAATTATACAATACAAATGATTTTTTTTTACAATATAAATTGACAAATATACAATGCAAATGAAAATTTATACAATACAAATGGAAAATTATAGAATACAAATAAAAATTCTACAATACAAATGGAAAATTATAAAATACAAATAAAAATTATACAATACAAATGGAAAATTTTACAATACAAATGGAAAAGATCGAATATTGCAACGTTAGACTTGCCATAGTAATAATTGGTGTTTTATCTTTTAAGTTTATATGATAAATAAATTCAGTTTTTAAAAACTCTGTTAGACTCGACGTTTATTTACATTGATAAACGCGATATTCAATTCTATTCCGGTGATCTAAAGTTTTGGAGGTTAACAATGAGGTTAACAATAACTAGTTAAAGTCATATAATTAAGTAACTTTCAGTAGGTCTCTAAGTATCTATATACGACCCCCGCTCCACAACTCACCGTCTTAGCCAGTAAACTGAAATATTTCTAATCACGACAAACGCTTTTGATAGACACACTAGATTATATATAGGTTTTTCTTTCAGTGTGCAGAGTTTAACGTTAACGAGTACTCGGGTACTCCATCGGAAAAACGTCTGAGTAAACTATTATCAAATATTAACCGATTTGACGACCCTAACAATGTTAAATTTTCATGCAACAGCAAGAGAACAATGATTATTATTTCTAATCAGTTTTCAAGTGCGATTCCGATTCCTGCCAAATGCCAATCAAAAGCGCCTTCGTTCTTTTGTTTAATGTGTGCTATCTTTTGCGATCGATGCTGTTTGCCGTTCCTCTAGAGTACCAGTTTATAGCATAATCTCTTATATCTTCCTTAAACGGGAGTTTTTAAAGAAATTCAAGAAGAGTCACTGACCAAAGGTATCTGTGGGTCCTACAATATTTTCGTATTTTTTTTTAATTAAACTGTACTCACTTTGTCCGTCTGACACGAGGACCACGCCCCTTTGTCTGGTGGCTCCGTTCCAGTCCACATCATACGTCTCGGATATCTGGTCCTTGACGCCATCATCTAAAGACACTGACCTGCTGGTGTAAGGTGGAGCAGATATAAAATTGCTCTTACAGATATCAATGGAACCCAGACGGTGTTTCGGTAAGGTATTCTCTTTCTCTGTTTTCTTTCGTAAGTCATTTGTAGAAAAAGATCCTCTCCGATTATGTTTGCTTTGCTTTGGGTGATCCACATCTTCAAAGACGTCCAGGCTTTCTTCAGACGCTGCATTATTCAGGACAATGGCAGGCAAATCCGTTTGCCATTTGTCTGGTGAACCGACGGGTGTCACAAAATTGTCATCGGGTTCGGAGTCCGTCCCGGACATACTCTGTTTGTTGAGGGTATTCGATTATCGAGTCTCTGATTGTTTATATATACAGGCATGGTATAACTGCAATGAATAAGTAAACTATTGTCAAACTATTATTATAATATGTAAAACTGACTTGATTTCACTCAAGTTATGTCAGCTGTTCTGAATCAGTAATTAACTAATTAAAAAAAGTTTTATCACTGGATTTTCCAACATGGCTGTAATCTACGTGTTTTCAGGATCCTTTCCCTACCACAACGGTCACACTTCATTCATTCAGTGACGTCCCTGGTGACAGATCGTGTATGTCCTTGAAAAATTCCGTCTCGCCGATGTGGATGACTACCTCACCCAGCACCAATGTGGTGTTTATGACCTCATTCTAGCTAACAACAAGGAAGAAACATGGACTTTTTAATTATATGAGTTGATGAACACTTTAAATATTTTCGTATCGGAAGACCGTAAGAGGGTATATCTCGTGAAATACACGGGAAATTGAGTCTTTGACAATTTAATGTAATCATATGTACTTGAATAGTAAGTGCTGGAAAACATGTTTTTAAAAAAAAAAAAAAAAAAAAAAAAATTCTTACCGGTAATCCTGAACTTGTTGCTATATATGTGCCTCAGTTATATACATCCATTACAGAGTTCAGTATTCAAATTTAATTTTTCGTAAGTGATCGTAACACAGTGTAATTTCAAGTTATAAAGAAGAAAAGCATTATCATAATCATGGAATACTCCTGCAGTATTGACGTCAAAAGCTGTTCTCATTTTACACATCTGAATGCCTCTTCCGAGATTCAGACTGATATCATGGGTGACCAAGGCCGGGGGGAAATGATCGTATCGTTATACTTTGTCGATTATTTCTAGACTAATGCAACGAACCGGTGTGTATAATTATCATATGTATGTCAAAATGGGCCAAAATTTGAATTATTTTCCTTTTCACGCGGGCTGTGTATTTTTTTTTCAGCAGCAGTATTCTCTTTAAAGATGTAGGCGAAGCCTGCCCAATTCTCTGAAGAGAATACTGCAACAGCTGCAACATTAATTTCCTATACACTATCAAAGAAAGAAAGCATTTCATTCTTTAAATACACTTCCTGTTATCTAAGCTTGAATTCATTTTGAGTTGCACATAGAATATACAGTATTTAAAATTAACTTTTCAGGTGATCGTTATACCGGGCACTTTTAAGTTACAAAGTATCTGCAGATCTGTAGACCCCTTTGTCAATATATATATTTTTCGGAGAGCTATTGAAAGTTCTGCAGTTAGTTACAAAGTAGACAAGCATTACATCACACTTATGGAATTCTCATGCAAGAAACGTTTTTAACGTGTTCATTTTATTAATGACGTCGAAAGCCAAATTCTAATTTTACAAATTATTCAAAGTCCGCCTGTAAGGAGACAAATGGATGGACAGGGTCAAAGGGGATATTTCAAGCGTAACGAGCATATAGAAAAACTGTACAGTGTATATACATGTACATGTGTATGTCATGATCAAAATCTACCAGAATACTTTTCAACCTTTTTTCCCAAGCATTGAATACTAAGAAAATGAATCGTCCAGTTATCGTCGTAGATAGATTCTTTATTTCCAACTCATATGGCCCTGTCATGCATCACAAACAAGAATCATGATTTATACCAGTGGTTTATACAATTACAAACAGCACAGACAAGTAATGTGTATACTAAATAATCTACAGTACAAGTTTTAGTATAAAGTGTAACACTGTATGTATATGTAAGTAATGTTGATAAATAAAATAGTACTACTACAGTGTACCCTAATGCAAAGTGGGGAGATTAATTCTATAATCCCCACAACAAAAGACATTCAGGTGTTGATAGTATTTTCTGTGAATAAATGCATAAACTCGTGATCTTTTTTAATTCAACGCCAAATATCGCGTGCCTTGGACAAGGAAGACACTGTCGCTCGATCTGTAAAAGTAATTACCCCTCAGGGGCGGATCCTGAATTTTTTTGATAGACGGATTCATATCAGACTCATCAGTATTTGGGGGGGGGGGCATACATGACACTTTTTACCTTTTAAAGAATTAAGAGTTCGCCCCCAACCCTTACCCTGGGGGAGTCTTGTATTATTTTACACAAAACCTTTTATCTTAAAAATCCCGGGAGAGGGGTCAGGACTCAGGATCCCCCACTACATCCGTGCATTACCCTTCTTCTAAGAACCGTACTCTGTCCTCAGTTCTGTTGTCAATTGTTCGAGTGTGTTTCTATGTCTGTGTAAATATAAGCTATATAAATATACAGAGAGAGAGAGAGAGGGAGAGAGAGAGAGAGAGAGATTTATGCTATTATTACTAGTGACGTACCATTGTATATGAAAGGGACAGCCAGAGAAGGTCCAAACTCGAAATAGTGTGCTTGAGTACAAATCACAAATCAGTGATTAAGTTCCATCTACAATTAATGATATTTAAGTTCCATTACAATACATGTACGTACCTAAATTGCGTCCAACCTTACTTTCATGTTTCTTCCGTCCGATTTGTTTAGAAAATATCTTTATCTTCGTCATCCACAGGTAGATATATCAGTGAGTGTGGATTATCAAACGTGTGTATGTAGGTCATGGAATTTTATTTATTTATTGCCAGTCTTGAATTCGGAGTTATCTCTCTTTAACAGGGAGATGACCCAGTACACTTATGATTCTATAACCTATGTAATTGTAGATTCTATATTTGTAAAAGAAATCGTGATGAGTTTCATTATTTATTCATGTACTAGAAATTTAACACAGTCATTGTCATTATATATGTTTTTTTCATTATATTTATTTAATTATTATACTGTGAATCCAAATATATAAATTTGACAGCTTAAAATCACAACAAAAAAAGAAACATGCAGTTTGTAAAAGTTCGTATTATCTCGAGAGTTCACTCCCCTTGTGCGCGGATCTAGAGGGGGTCAGGGGGGTCCGGATCCACCCCACCCCCTGGAATTTGCAGATATATTAAATTGAAACACTGAACCAAGTGAAAAGTTACCTTGGACTCCCCCTCCCTAGAAAACGGATCTCAATTTAACCCCCTTGAAAACGCGGATCTGTGTTAAGTTGGGAAGTCAAAAGTCAACCAATGCCCCCCCCCCCCCCCCTTCCACACAAACACACACGAAATAGGATTTTCACGTTTAGGCAAGTTAAGGGGGTTTTTTTGTTTGTCAACAAATTTCTGAATTGAGTTGGATTAATTTTTTGACTGGGGTGGACCCCCCCCCCTGGAAAAATTCCTAGATCCGCGCCTGCGACTGGTTAGTTTTTCGCGCATTGCGATCTATATTTGTCTAAGTTATTGTTCTCTACAACTATGATTAGTTTGATGAGAATGGAGTAATTGTCAAAGACCATATACCCATATAAAAATATATAAATAACCAGTTGAAAAATATCGTGATTGATTGATTGATTGATTGATTGAATGAATGAAAGAAAGAAAGCAATTGAGTGTGACACTTTTTTTTATTTTTAGAGAACATTTATGGATATTCTTTCCCTTTGTATCCATGATAAATGATGTCTTAGAATCAAAAATTGCAGTTAAAATTAATCGTACTATTTCACATCAATATGCGCCGCTGCCACCAAAATGTTACAGTCAAAAATTGAACCCAATCATAGCGATTTCAACAATTTATTTCATGCATATTTTGGGCTTTTTAAGGCTCACATGGGCTAATATGAAATAAATCTTAGCCTTTCTTTGCACTAAGCCGTTATCGGTATTTAATTTAAAGAAAGAAATAAAATGAACAATTTTATTGTAATCCTAATCAAGACTGGGTTACTTCTGTTGTTAAACAAAGATTACAAGATCAATTTATACAAAAATGGCATTCTGATATTAATAGTTCTTCTAAAGGCACTTTGTATAAAACTTTTAAAACAAAGAAGTCGTTTCACTTTATGCAGAAAATGGCCCTGTATATATACCAATTAATTGATCAACACTTGATTTTCTATTTGAAGCATTAAAATAAAATAGACACTTGGTGCTTTCATTTCCTATTAAAAATATTCTCCTAAAAGTCCAAGTCTTGGAGAACTGGCTTTATGAAATTGCAATGTTCTTGAATTTTTAGGTAAACAGGTATAATTGAGTACTTTCAGTGAAGAAAAATTATATGAGCGCACTCTCTGATCTAAAAAATAAAACATGTCCATTAATCCTCAGAAAGAGTTCTATCATTTACTATTTACATATTTTAGATCAGAGGTTGCGCTCTATATTAAATATGAAAGAATAGCTTTCAAAATTGGCCGTTTTTGTACACTTTTTCAGAATATGAGGAAATACGTAATATCGCGAGTACCTCGCAGTTATCTAACTTACTACCGCTCTTTTGCGGGGGAGTTGAAAAAGCTCAAATCCCGCGAGATTACTGGGACACATGGCATTGTTTACAGTAGTGACAAGCGAATGATTTGTACAATTTAATGCCGAAAGTACAATGTAACAGTATTGCCATGAATTGAACTCCAGATAGTAGATTGTCAAATAAGGAAAGATTAGATTATTTTTATCAACTTTAAAATGTGACGATTTTCAATGAAAATTAATTGAAAAGAGCTTGCTTAAGTAAAAATATCGTTAAAAATGTAACATTTTAGGATAAGCTCCTCTCAAAAATTAATTAGGCTGGTTCAGCGATTGGTTGGCAAGGTATTCCACCAGGATTTTTAAGTTATCTGTCCTTATAAATTCTACAATGATCGATCTTGCTTGTATACAAAAGCACATTTGTCCCCAGCCAACAGGCATTTCCTACCTCCTTCGCGAAAGAGTTCCGCTAAGTTAAGTAATCGCGATATCAAGTATTGACGCATTTCGTGACGTCATAATGCATTGACTAGCCAGAAAATGACGTCATTTTTGAAAAACACGCAGTCAGGAAAGATCTAAATAATTTTAATGCATTGTTGAGTAAAACTATGCAGTTTCAGTTTTTCAGAAATTCACAGGGCCAAATAAGGCAAAAGTGAACCTTGTTCTTTTGAGTGTGAAAATTATTTAAATATTTTACCATTAAAATTTAGAAAAATACTTGTCAAATTCCGAACTACTAATCACCATCTACCAGTTGAGCTGGGAAGATGGGCATGTACATATGTATACCATTAAATGAAAGATTATGAACACTTTGTAATGCTAAACATGTTGCTGATGAATTCCATTTTATACTTGAATGTAATGCACTGCCAAATATTAGGAAAAAGTTTATTAATGAATATTACTTTACTAGACCAAATATTTTGAAATTTTCCCAACTGATGACAAAACAAGATGCTATGTCACTTAAAAAACTTTGTATGTTTATATTAAAAATATATGATTTAGTCTGTCCTCCATAATTTTTTCTCCTCGTTTATTTCATTTTGTACACGTATCATACGTGTTTTTTCTCTTTTATCTTTTTCCCACATTGCCATTTTCTGATTATGTATATCATTAACTTATACCTCTGACCTGAATATATTTATGCTGTAAATATTTTTCATTGTCCTCATGTACCATGTATTTTAAATGGTTTTGAGAGAATAAATGAACTTGAACTTGAACTTGAAAGATGGTTTATACATGTATCACAATACGTGTTATGTTTCAATAGTTACGCCATAAGGTATACAGGAAACAAACACTAAAATACATGCGCTGATTTACGTTAAGAGATAATGACAAAAGATGCCGCCCTGCCGTAGGCCGTCAAAAGAACAATAAAATTAATCTACAATGTGTTTTTCCGACAAATTGAAATCGGCAGATTATATCAGTTTGTGTTTCCGAATTGATTTACACCAGCGGGTGTCCGGAATGTGTGTTTTGTGATATCTTTACAACTCTTAGGGACACGTACGTACTTTGATTATTAATCCAAATTAATATCGTCTCCTGATTACCCGGGGGGGGGGGGGGGGTGTACATGGAATTATCTTGAAACTTTCTTATCAAAAAGTAAATAAAACATAATTTAATGTGTTTGGTGATACATAGCTTTCTCCAAAATTTTTAAAATGTAAAACGAATATTTCTATCATCATGATTATGTAGAACATAATTTTAACATTTTTAGGATAGTATAAGTACAAGCACTTGACGTTTTTTTCTAACCTTTCTTTTCATTTATAAAAATATACCCTCTACTATAATAATAACTATTCATAATATAGTGTAGGGGATTTTTTTATTATAAAAAGAAAGGTTAAAAACGTTAAGCGCCTGTGAGTAAAAGTATTGCTCAAAATGTCCTTTAGTGGACTCCATATGGTATATCGGTCAACTTTTCATTGGTATACGGGTCAAAATATTAATTTCAATAATTTTAAATAACGATTTATTTTCAGATATTTTATAATTTATAACAGAAAACTCGGTTATTTGTAAATAGTATGAATTTGAACAATTAGAAATATTACTGAGATAAGTTTTCTCACAAAAATAATATGCTCCTTATTCTATAAAGATATTATATTTCTTAAATGAACAAGCCATTATCTACAGAAAGAAAATATAATTGCAATGCTTTGCAGACAACTTTTTAAACTTATGTAGATAAATCCTTGATTTTATATAGCAAGTCAGTTATATGTATCTTTATTGCATAAATATATCCAGATGGGTCAGTCCATATTAAAAAAAAAAAAAAAAAAAAAAACAATAAATCATATATAGGCGCAATATAAGTACATGTAATTGACTCTCTTATAAATGTTACCCCGATGTGGACCCTTTTATTTCACAATTTTAATGACTGTTTTATAAAAGTGCAAACAGACGTATAACTTCAGGATCTTTAAAAAACACCGTCGTCGGCATAATTTAAACACAAGCCTTGTATTTCAAATTTAAATATTTTATAATATTATACACTTTATTAATACAGTACGGTCAAAATAAATATCTTGTTTTTTCTTTTAAAATTCGCCGATCAACACGGATAAAAATAGATTTGGTAAATTCCCAGAACCCATTTCATTGGTCGATAAATTTTGAGAGGCGGGGCTTTGTTTGTAGCATACGGCGATAAGAGGATCATGTTTGGACCTGTCGCGATATGTACCGAACAGATCAAAACATGTGAACAATGTGTAGGATTCTCAGTCTATATTAATGTGATACATGACAGTGTGCTCCTCATACTGGAATTAGATTTCAAACAGGGATGTAAGTATTTTTCTTCATTAAAGTAAAATTCCTTTAGAGACATTTATTTACCTATTTAAATTCCTGTTATAAATTTAAATGGCTTCACATTAAATGTTTTATTTCATTCATATTTTGAGTACTGTTGGAGTATTATGCATTAAATTTATGATTGCCCCTCGTTAATTATCTGTCATAAATGACTTTAATCCTGACAGTTAATTAATAGACAATGAAAGTCTTCCGCTATACGTGTCAAATGATAATTAACCATTGAGTGATTGTGATCAATACGAGTTCCTAATTAGCAGCGGGAGATATGTAAATGAGATGTCAGATAGTATAAAAACGGTTTCCATTGCGCTTATTCAATAAAAAGGAATTTTTCATCAAATATTTCAGGTCTTCAAAAATGTGTAGCATCAGCGAATTTTACAACATAGCTACTGAAGAATGCCAAAAGTGTTCCGAATGTCCGAACGGAGATTCCGTGATGTTCAAGTGCTCTGCCTTCGTAGACACAATATGTAAGAAGGAATTCTGGAAAGATCTTCCCGTGCCTCCCCATCCCGTCCCCACCCCCTCCCACGTGACCCCGAGGCCGGGTACAGTGGCGGTGGAGGTACTGCCAGAGGACTGGACGTCGAGCCCCACCGTCCTGATGGTCGCCACCGCCCTGTTCCTGACAGTCCTCACCGTCGTCCTCGCCACCATCATCTACTGCCTGTGGAGGAGAGTCTGGAGGGCCAGCAAAGACAAAGAAATCCTCTACCTCCCTCGACGTAAGTTTTCTTATATGACAATTCACCTGTTAATTATCTGTAATTTCAAAGCATTTGCAGTAGACCCTATTGTATTTTCCAATATGTTTTTTTTTAGAGAAAATAAAAAATAAAATTGACAAAGAGGGGAATTTACAATAAAATTAACATCTCAAGGTCTTAATTTAATGATAAACTTGTAAAGATAAATTGTTGAATGAATGAAACAATAAGAGCGAAAGGGGTACAAATATTCCAGATACATTACAAAACTCTCTGCATTTTTTGACGATTACTACAACTGATTGTGAAGCTGATAAAGGATTTTTTTCTGAAATAGATCCAGCTTTTACATGGTTCATGACACACGATTGTCGAGCCAGAAACAATACAGTGTGTGTGTGTTTTTCATATTATTACCCAAACCAAAAAAAGTGAAATTTTACGAATGATTGCTAAAAGATAGAATTTCCCAACTCTAGTAGTCCTAGACAAATGTTTTATCAAATAAATGATCACGACATTTACGGCCTTGTAAGTCCGCTTATTTCGAGTTATATTCATGTTCAAGTCATGTAAATGGGGCGTTCATTCGCGAAATTTATATTTGAGGAGGGATCAATTAATTCGCCTATTTCCTGGTACGTGATGGGGACCTTATTCTAAAGCCAGTATTGTACACTTTCGATTTAATTTGGATTCGGTCTCAGGTGTTTTATATCCCCCCGCTCTAACAGTTAATTGCATTAGCATTGACTTTTGTCACCGTGATCAGTGGGAATTGCGACAGGCGACATATCTAAGCTTTCTGGCATTGTATGGTATTGTTATCAGTACATGGAGTAGCATCTGCCACTCGGACTGACGTAATGTTATTTTGTCATTATCACGTCTTCGTCCGATCAGCTGTATTGTTTGCTTACAAAGTCGTTTATAGATCCCATATTGCTGGATAAACACTGTCACATTCTTTCATGCAAGACAAAATAGCCTCCATAAGTAGTAATTATGTTCATAATAACACAATTATTCTGTCAATTTAAATTTTTTTTTTACCTTTTTTGACTTTTTCATTATGTTAAATGATCAGATTGTAATCAATCATTAGGTTCGACTTTCCTTGTCAATCGACTTCACATTTAGATCTTCTAGCCATTCGATCTAGTTCCTGCATTTCTGGGATTCTTGTCCTATTAATATTTTACTTGTCGACTCCATCACAATGGATAATATAATACATCAAAGCTCAGTCAAGAAATTTATGTATGAAATGCACTTTACAACCAATGATAAAAGCTATCAAACTGAAGCCGATTGTTACAAGCATATATATAAATTATAGTCATGTTTCTTTCCCGATTTCCTCCAGGTTTTGAAAGCTTTTGACAGTGTACAATAACATTCTACCCGCAGCGTATAATATTTTCATAAAGAAATGATAACATAGCTTTCTTAAGATGCACTTTGTAAATTAATTTCACACCAATGCATTTTATATCGCATAACTTTACACGATTCCATTAGACCAGGGGCGCTGATTTTATCCCAAACACTGTCGGAATCCCACAGAGAGCAAATCTCCGGTATATAAAGGACAGTAAGACATGAATGGCAGAGACCACCATATAGATATTATCACCTGTCGCGGCCATTGTAATTGAAGTAACAACCCATTTCTTCTGCCGAACTACTTATCCAGCTAAAATTTTTGTCTCGTATATCCCTGAGATGGCGGTGGGGTGTCTGAAATCGCCACTTGACAGAAAATAGACCTTTTTTCTCCATTTAAGTAGAATTTTAAAGTATACGAAGCTGTGTCTGTCAAGATATACATTAATGGTCATTAATGGCCCTGCTCCACAGACAAATGGTGTTCTTGTTCACTTGTAGTTGCTATCTATCATAAATGTTTTGCTAAATAAGCACATTTTCTTGGTCCGGTTTTTTAAAGATGTTTAATGATTTATTTTTCATTATTTCACAGGGTACACCGATGTTCACGATATGGATGGTGAAGAGCCTCGTTATCAGCCACTTCCGTCACGTGAGCGCCTCAAGAAAACCAACTACATTGGAAGCAGTATATATGCAAATAACACGATACCAAGCATGCCAAATACTCATATATATGTGAATATGTTAGACTTGATTGACAATGATTACTGCAATATTGATGACTACGTAAACTTAGATTAATGTGTGGTAGAAAGCAACCAAAGTTCCGTCTGTGATATGAAACGAGAGTTTCTAAAAATAAAAGACAACTCACAATGACGTTATAATACTCAAACGACACAGAAAGCGTCCAAGATTGAACAAAAACGACAAAAAATACATGACTAGCCAAAACACAGATTTTACAGTGATGGACTAAACAAACAAATAGTCCTCAAATCAGAAGGGATCTCACATAAAGATAGAGATATCGGGGTACGTTATGTATACTTTATTCTACTCACACATTTTGAATTTGCATTTCCCGTAGAGTATTGTTTCTATTTTCATTAGTTTTCGCAAATGCTGATTTCTCATAGATTCTTGTTTTCTTTTGTAGGATTTAAGTCTAGAAATGCGTGGATCATCAACCCGAAATTTCACCGAGTGGTTTGTGTTTCCGAACCGAGGAGATGTATACATGTAAATGGCTGGGAAACCAGCTCAAAGACAATCTAGTCACAAGTAAATTATTTTATTTGTCTGTACATAAACAATGAACACTTGTTTATACTGTATTTATTAACTTATTTGAAACACAATTAAAAAATGAAAACTTAAAAAAATTGTTGTGTGTCAATTATCAAAGTGCTAAATGTGTGCGACATTGATAAAATGACGACGGCAGGCAAATATGTAAACTGTACAAGATTATGTCGTCAGCTCTTGAAGTCGTCCAATAACAGAAATGTCCGGTACTTGTTCATGTATTTTGTTTTCCTTTCATTTACATGTACTTTAAAAATGAGCTGCACGAAATCTGATATTTTATTTTCTCTGCAAGGAGAGATAAATCTTAAAAAACATTATTTCAAAAGAGTTTTGAAAGGAAGCTTGATATGGACTTTTTTTTTTAAATTTTTGTTTTATGCATCTCAAAATGAATGGGGGTTCTTTGAAGTCATTAAATGTTTTGCAAAAGTTGACACTTTCTGCTCCATCATGAACATTTTAGATGCAGATATATTTTAGAGAAATCGAATTCCCTGTAATATAGTCTCAAATATCATCGGCCATTATAAGATGAGATTATAAGTTATCAATGACAGAATAAGCGTTTTACAGGCTCAGCATCTATAATATGATAGTCAAAGTAAAAAGAGGAAATAAAGTCTAAAAATATAAAAACCATGCAATTTTCTTCGAATACCTTGATACCTATATACTATTTCATGCTAAAATATATTTGTTGGTCGTTTTCAATTAGAAAATTAAATGCGTAGCTGGTGTTTTTATTTGCAGTTCCTAAAAATATATCTTAGATTTGGTAATTATATGATTAATTTACATCTCAAAAACTGAATTTATGGATATATAACACAGTACAGTTTGTGAGATTTCCGAAATTCTCTGTAAAGTCTCCGAATTTACACGAACTATTATTTTAATTCGGACTCCTAGCTAGCACCTGCCGTAACGACGAAATTTCAATACAACCGACGCGAGATCTGACAGATGGCGCGATAACGTCACACATCGTCAAATAACTTCAATCGGAAGTCTCCAGTACATTTCTTTATTTGTCGAAAGCATTAATTCATATCTGTGGACATTTCTGAACATTTGCAATAAAGGATCCACATGTGCCGTTATCGATTTTCCAAAATAAAATCATCTGCTTCCCTTTGTCGGACAGTACCTCTCTCGAGGTCCCGTATGATGCCGCTCACCTGCGCGTGGTGATACTTTGTCATGCTAATGGACGCGTGGCTTGATTAAAATACTCCCCTTGTTCTTATTTGCTTAACGGGTCCTTTCAACTTTAGCTTTTGAACAAATGGATTGAGATCTGCATAAATATTTGTTTCCAACAGGCCTTCATTTTCCCCAAGTAGCTGATAAACTGAAGTCAAGGAGCTCACTTGCCGACTATCGAAACTAGAAACAAAATTCATCCCTAGTTTACTGATAAAATCAACGCAACAAGAAAAACAACTTTTTTTGCAAATACTTCTGAAAATAACACAGCGAAAAAATAATCACAGCACAGATAACAAAAGATAAGAATGCGTTTATCTAGAAAATGTCATATTTTTGAAAGTTAGATAAATGCTTTCAGCACCTGGTCCAAACGCCGCCTTCGTTTTTACCGAAATTTAACTCTGCTTATCAAAATTTATTTGCTTCATCAATTGCAGATCTTAGAAGATTTAGATACGCGCATGCTCCAGCATCAACTTGACTTTCCTTATCTCTTTCACTGAAGATCACAGGGATGATATAAAATGATAAGAGCAATCTTAAGATAAACTAAATGACTTTATCTCATGGTTAAGTATAAACTTATGGCACATGAGTATTTTTAAACTAAAAAATGAGATCATCTTTATTTAAAACACAGCGACAGCTGTTCGACTTTTTTTAGTTACACTAAAAGTGTTTCCTATAGTATAAATTATGGTTTACATGTAGTAAACTAAAATATGGACTTGTTCTAAAACTCTTTGTCAAATTAAGTGATCTCTATATATAGTTTATATACAGTTTAATATATATTTTATTAAAATTCAGTTGCAAGTAAATTTATTTTTAGCTTGCTATAGTTATTCTTTTTCGTATTGTTACAATTTTATTACACCTTTCCGCCAGGTATCAAGTTACCAAAACTGCAGACGTTTCCTAATTAAAATTCCACAACACAAAAACTCCAAAAGAAAGATTGTGAAATTGATACAATTGATAATGGGGAAATCTTTTTTACACCTAGTCTGTCAACCAGGGTGGCTAGAATTTAAAGGATTATGAAACAATCCGAAAGGAAGAGCCACCGGAAGTCCCGAACTACGCTTTGTTGCGGAAGGAACAAGCGGATTATAACATTTATTTACCAACAGAGTTTTTTAATGTTATAAGAGGATTTAATGATAAAGGTCGGGGCGTCCCGTCTAAGAGTCTGATTTTAACGTTGTCAACTTGAAATATTATGTAGTGATTCCAACTCCTGACGTATTTTAGATCAATTCATATTATTACGGATCCGATTTTTATAAACAAATTATAAAATGTCTATTGAAATGAATATTTTAGATGATGGTGAACATTAAAGCGGGTATGAAATTGTTATTTGAAGTGCCTTTAAGCATACACAAGACGTTTAATATACATTATTTATTGAAATTAAGACTTTGCACTCTGTCCATTGGATCTATATGTCAATTTAAGTGCCAACATAGACCTTTTTTTTTAGTATTTCTCATACAAATTGACTTGAGAAATAATTTATAGATTTTAAAACTTCATTATCTTTTTTGTACTTTTACTTTTTTTTTCAAATTGTAAAACTTGATATCCCCAAAATGGAAGCCTAGGTATACATGTTCAGAATACTTTTTTGTAAAATTTATGTGGTCAACAATGATGAAATGTGTGTATTTGTTAACCTTAGATATTTTTCTAAATAATATTAAAAAAAAATGGCAGGTTAACAGGCAAGTTTTTGAGATCTGATCAAAATTAAGTATTTCGTGATTTTTTCTGAATGCCGTGGGAAGATTAAGCATCAATTTTTAATGTTTTTCAAGGAAGATTTTTTAAATTCTATTAGCAAATGAATATATTTTTTATTTTCATAAGTTTTTAGTTTTGGTGTATACGTTAACAAAATACGAGGCCATGCTTCTTTATGATAAATTTTGACTGTCTTATTTTCAAAGGTGTATACTCCGGAACAGGTTGTATGAAAATAACCATGGAAAGACATGTGTTTTATGGGCTTTTTAGTTAGTTTATTAGTTAATTTAGGTATTCGAGTGCAAAAAATGTTAGTTTCACGAAAAAATTTGAAGCTCTTGACCTTCCTTAATTAGAACATTAACATCTGAATATTTAGGGTTTTATTTATTTCTTCTTTTCTTCGATTTGTATTTTTAAAATAGAAAAATCTCTTTCTTGCAAAACCATCTAACCTTGAAATGAGGAAGATGACTGAGAAGGAACCATTGGCTGCCGATTGGGAATGATATCCATAAAATGTTACGCTTATCTATAATAAGCAGGAAGAATTCTCTTGTTTTCCTCCCGATTTTCTACAGTAAGAAGGAAGGGGTATCACGATTTCCCGATTCCTTGTGTAAAGTGCCGGTTAAACGTATTTAAAATCAAATGTCAAGAAGATTAAAGTGTGATGAGCAATACCTTAGCCAAATAAAATCTTATTTTGAAATACTTCTTGCACTGGCCATATTTTGTGCATATGGAACGAAAGTTTAGGAGACAGATGTTAAGATAAGTTTGGTCATTACCTGCATCAGACAGATTGGGTAACTAAATGTATATCAAATAGCAGATTCTACAAAGAGGCAGCTTTGTTGCAAATAAAGAACTTGATATGCTGTTTATGAAATGAATTGTATCTAAATGGATTTAGAATTTATATATTTACATAACTCTGCTTGTAAGATGATGACGTGATCTCCTATTTCCTCACTGAAAAAGGTACATCTCAAGTTACCTATATATATTACTCAACACGATACAGTCAAATGTTTAATTTTGAATAAATTTTGAAAAAGTTATGAAATACATTTGTCACTTCTATTCTGCACAAATTTGCTGCATCATTTTGAAATGAGTTGCTGTTTAAAAAAAAAAAAACTATTCCAGTATCTGGAACAGAGTTGACTCCGATCTTTTTAAAGGACATATGAACAGATGAAGCTTTGCTTACAAACCCACTTTTCTGAATAAAAGTATATAAAGGAATATGTGTTATCTTTAGTTGTATTCTCTAATGACACAGGAAATACATTCTCTGAATTTCATCATGTCTATAAAGAAAACCTTCCGTTGTATAAAGCCAAAAGATTCTCTCACCCGATAAAAGATTCTTCGGATTGAAAATTACGCAACCTAATATAAAAGAACCGCAACGCACGGATCATTAAAAGACACCAATGGATTGATTGGGCGGGTACCGACAAAAAAAAGACGAAGGGATCCGAATGATTGGTGGTTGTAACTCGACACAACACCCCCATTAAAAGGAAATAAGGACGATTTCTTCTCGGTTTACCTCAAAATATATCACCTGTGTGTGTGTTTACTCACACCATTTGCTGTTTTCATGCTAAGAGGGTTCTGGCTATTCGTTAATTGGATAATCCCACGTATAAGATGAATTAAGTTCCTAAGCTATTATTTTGGGCACATTCATGTTTAATAGAACC